ATGTCATCTTTATGAGTTCCCAGCTTGTATTACACTATTTGTTTCTAAACAAGGAAAAAAATTAGTTAATATCTGTGAATATCCTATAGATTCCTAATATCTACAAATAATACCTACAAGAAAAGGCAGAAACTAGATCCTGTCTCCACCACATTACATCACCCCATCAGCTTCCATAGCAAGAATTTCTGGGGAGTAAGATGGATGTAAACAAAACAGAACAACAATGAAAATCTCCCTAAGGAACTTGAAAGAAGGGATCCACAGCCCAATTAGCTATGAATAAAATCTTAGCTATTTCTGGACTAATCATATTTACCTATAAAGTGTAAGGTATAATTTAGACATTCTTTATACACATTTCAGATCCTGAATAATTTAATGTATGATTTTCTTTGCTCTTTCATGAATACATAGATAAATAATATATGGTATATTATACTCATCTAACATCACAGAAAATCTTTCTGTGCTATCTGACTCTCCATACTTCCCAACTATGGCAGCTTTGATCTAAATGTGTTAGAAAAGTAGCACCACCTTTATAATCTACTATAACATTAATCTCACTCCAACAATATTTAGAGGACATAATCCTTTTTATAGGAATACAATGTAGATTTATGTATATCAATATTTAAATTATTTTAATTCTATATATTAAAGTATAAATGTAAAGTGTAAGTTTGACCTATGAATGTAACAGTATAAAATTTAAGTAGATTTGGAACTGCTGTGGCTGTCGTGTTAGATGACCACCGAACCTAAATCTGAAATGTTCACCGATTTAGTTATTTATAGCTGACTAAATCAGTGCAATGCAATGGCATGATTGACTGCATTAAAAGAACATGCTAATCTCAGAGCTTCAGAAATAATAAAATTGAACATTGAATTCGGGATACAGGAGATACTGGTAAAGTGTTCAAAATCACAAATCCATTTTTAAGCTTTATCAGCGATCACGTCGTGTTATAGATATTTAGATATTTGCTACCTCTCCTGATAGAAATGAATTTGAAAGACAGGGACAAAAATATATCTTTGTGTTTGTAGCATCTACCATGGAGCTTTACACCTACTCCAGATTCAGTGGATGTTTACAGAATGAACTGATAAATGATCAATAGGATGATTTCTTCAGGCATGTGGGATTTTGTTCTGGCTGTCTCTCCCATTCACTGCGCATTATTATTATTGCACATTGTGTGCCTGTGTGCATGGTATATGCATGTATCTCTTGTGTTTCTGATTGCTCTCCCTTGTAGAACAGAAGCTCTTGGAAAGCATAGTCTCTGTGGGAAGCAGAATAATACCCTATGCAAGATACTGTGTTTGAATCCCTGGTATCTGTGAATGTGACCTTACATGGCAAAAGGGGCTTTGCAGATCTGATAAGTTAAGGATCTTGAGATGAGAAGATTATCCTGGATTCTTTGGGTGGATTCAGGGCAATCACAAGGATCCTGAAAGTCAAGAAGGAGGCAGAAGAATAAGTGAGAATGGTGCCTCGCCAGCCCCCAACTTTCCCCTGTGAGTTTTGAAGATGGAGGAAGGGGCCACATGAAAGGAATGTGAACAACCTCTAGAAGATGAAACAAACAAGTAAATAGATTCTCCCTGAGAACCTCCAGAAAGGAATTCAGCCCTGCTGAGAACCTGACACTAACCCAGCAAGCCCCATGTCTGATTGTTGGGGCTATGAAATAATAGATTTGTGGTGTCGTAGGCCACTACATTGGTGGTAATTTGTTACATCAACAACAGGAAACTAATACAATCTCCGAACCTTTGTAATCTCCTGCAGCTTCTAAGACAGTGTGTTGCACAGTCAGATATCTCTTGCTGTTGATCACTGTCATCACTTCCTCTTTATTCTCTTAGCATTTGCTACACTGTCCATGCCGGAAAAGGACTGCAGTAGTCAGGATTCCTCTATTTGCAGATGGCAGAAACCTAACACCAACTAGCTTAAGCCAGTTAAAAAAAAAATGAAGGAGGGGCACACCTCACATAAGTGTGACCTCTGAGGGATGGCATTGGCTTTATTATGAGCTGAGACTAGGGCCCAAATCAGCCTATGAAGACTCTCTGTTAATTTGCTTTGCTTTACTTCTGCATGCAGACTCCTATGTTTCCATGACTTGCAAGTTTTTGCTGGCAAAACGACCCTCTTTCTTTCAGGGAAGGATTCTTATTTGACTACCTTTGTGCCTAGTGTAGTTGAAAGGGGCTACAATTATCTACTGACACATTAAAAAACACCCCAACACATGTTGGCTTAAAATGCAAACCTTTCTTTTATTTACGTATGATTCTGAATTGTGTGCAAGGCACGTCAGGGACAACTCATCTCTGCTCCATGTGACACCAGCCTGACGCAGCTCAGTTGGAGCTCAGGGATTCACTTCCTGGAAAGCTTTTCCCATGCAAGCTGTGCTGTTTTTTGGCTGGAAGCTCAGCTGGGGTTGCTGGCTGGAAGGCTCAGCTCTTCACATGACTTCTCCATGTGACTAGGTTGGGCTTCTCATGGTATGGTAGTCTTACAGTAGTAGGACTTTGTACATAGCAACTAACTTCTTCCTGAGGACAAAGTGAAAGCTTCCAGTTCTTAAGGTGTAGCCCAAAATTAATACAGGGATACTCTGTATCAGCCACATTCAATTGATTAAAGCAGATCACAGGGCCAAGCTCAGACTTATGGAGAGGAGACTACATACACAAGGGTGTGAATACCATTGTCATGGTTTACTGGGGCCACCAGACTGTGGGGGTTTAGTCCACTATGGTAAATAATGAATCTTTGTGACTAATGGTCTAAATAGGGCCATGGGAAAACGGGATGGCAGGCTCACAAAGGAAACCGGGCTGAAAACAAACCTCCAGTATCCATGGCAACCATTTCCTAGAGTGCTAGAAATTATTCAATAAAGCAAAGCTGTATTTTTTTTTATTAAGTATGTTTACTATATAATTTGTACATTTTCTGGATTTGGGGAGGTAATTAACAACTTAGATTTAAAGTTAAAGAATCTCAAACTTTTTTTCCCATTCAACTTTTCTTATACTATGAATGAAAATGATGGTAATATATAGATATATAGCCAACTGTGCTCTAAAGGAATTAACGTGTGCAGGATTCATGATAAATAAAGTGTAGTGTTACTAATCCAACGGTGGTTATTTGCGATAACCTTTTTAATGTGACAGCTCTTTGGCCTACATCTGCATTTTTATGGTTTGCATTTATTCTCAACAGTATGAATCCCAAATTGTCAAATTACTTAGGCTGATTTATGATAATTAGCTTTAAGTTAGAATATTTGAAATGCATTCAATTAATTTTATCTGTTTAGTGAAGTACAATATGGATTTTAGCATTACAAAGTTTTCTTTATAATATTAGCTATGCATATGTTAAAGGATATGGTGGACTCCAATTACTCTCATTTGAATTTTATATTTAGAAAATGAGCATGCAGTATTGGGGATTAGGCAGTATTTAGGAAATGTATGTAGAAGGATTATCTAGGACAGAATCACGGAAAATCCTGGAATGTTTAGCACATAGTTGTTGATTGATTTTACCTGCAGCAAACATGAGGCAATAACAACTGTATAAATTATTTAGAGACTAGTCATCCATATGGGGATTCCTTAAAATCATTTCAGAAAACAATTTGGCATGGTATTTTCTTTATACTTATTTTTTTCAAGTTCATGTACAAAAGAGATATAGATCCATACAAAGTGGATTATCACTAATTCTTTTAAAATAAAGTTAAAAGAATATTTTAAAACATTCAAATGATGATTAGGTGATCTTTCTTAGCTAAAGTTTTTTTGGTAGTTTATTTATCTTAAATTTTATTTTTGTCTTTCAAAGGGTATTATACAGTGAATATAAGAGATTTATTAAAAACCTTGGATTGCTCGAGAGTGCTTTAGAACTTTGCCTTAAAATCTGCACATAGGCAAAATTCTTGATATTATGAGTTGGGATTTCCAGTGTAAGAGGATTTCAAATCACTGCCGAAAAAAGGGCTTGTTACAGATTCCTAAGCGTCCTGTATCAGAAAGGCCCAGCAACTTACACAATCGCTGAAACTAAAATGGGGCAGGACCAGACACATGGAATGAAAGAGATCAATTTAGACCAAGTGAAAGGTATCAACTTCTCCTAAAATGAGCCTTTTATTCTAGAGGGCTATCTTATACAACTCCTAAAGCAGATAGAATAACCAGCATTTACATAGTTATGGATCTCTTTGTATATGGAGATGGGAATTTTTTTTTAAGATTTCCATTGTTTAAAGCAGTTTGAGACATAGTGTTGGGAAGAGCAGATATTTGGGTGTTTGTAGATAAGCAGTTGGAGACCTCAAATATTTACTTACAAGTCACATGACTTTGAAATATTCAAAGTAATCTTTTTTTTTGGTGTAATAACATTTTTGGATCTCGGTCCTGCATTCTCTTGGGGTTGTTCTGAAGATCCAATGAGAGAATACCAAAATACTTTACACATTGCAAAGCATTATGTTATTAAAATCTATATTATCACTACTAATAATAAAACTAAAACATGACTGGGTAACTGCCCTATACATGATGCATTAAAAAATCCAAGTATATTGGATGTGTCTTATTTTTATAAACAGTTTCCCTCCAAAAGTATACATGGTCCAAAGTAGTTCATGCATTTCTCCCTTATTATTTTTAAAGTACTAACCCTTATTTCACTGACTTACAGCGGACACAAAATCTGGAGAGATGACTAAACACATTTTTCCTGAATAGTTGAGGATTATATTTTATTAGCTGCAACACAGAAGGGTCATGAGTGTTTTTAAGTAGAAATTTGCAGAGAAATTTGCCTCCTGGTATCGTTGCTTGAGATGATCAGTATCCGGTTGTAGGAGGTTTGGCAATGGTGTTGTGTGTGTGGGGCTGGTGGGATACTTTTGTTAATGGTTTGTTTCTCTGTGTTTCTCTCCCAGCTATCGGCAGGACCCTCATCCCTCGTTACTTTAGCACTGTGTTTGAAGGAGGGGTGACCGACCTGTATTACATTCTCAAACATTCGAAAGAGTCATACCACAACTCATCCATCACGGTGGACTGCGACCAGTGTACCATGGTCACCCAGCACGGGAAGCCCATGTTTACCAAGGTACAGGACAGGTTATCACATGCCCGGCTTTTTCTACTCTGAGTGCATTAAAGGATAATAATAATTGTGGGTTTCCTATGGAACTTGGGGCTGATTGCTTGCAGATGCTTTCAACACCAGGAGAGAATCTTTCTTGTTTGGGGCATGGGTTGATTCTAGGGGTGAACTCCGTTCTAAGATGTGCACATGAGATACTGAGCACATGAAATTCAAAAATGAGGGACTCCAAAACGGAGAGGAAGAGAGGTTCTACTGCCTTTTAAATTGTAGTTGCTAGATTATAATTGTTTTATACAAAAGATCTGCTATAGCTGAAAGAACATAGCCTATTGTTGCATGGTCAGCACTATATTTGTGCTTTGTTACTAAAATAACTTATTAGAGCTGAATTCAAATTTGAATAAGGGAAGAATACACTAACCACAATCCAACTTTAATCTGTAAGGAATATAAAAATTTTAAAATGTCAATGAAATTAGGAAATTCAACAAGCAGCTGATCAAGCATAGTTATAAAAGAGTGAATGAGGCGAGGGCAAATGTCAGGATCAGATTATCACAATGTTTGAGGCTGAATTCAAAGCCCCGTGAAGTCTTCGAAATGAAAAATAGAAGAGATAGAGATTTAAACTTATCTTCTATACATTTTAGATCTATGATTCTTGCCCTACATAGAAAATTGACATATGGAATATTCCTTCTTACCAAATACCCTTCTGGAACACTATAGATAATCTCTTTATGTTCTTCTGCAGGTAGAAAAATTAGTAAGAACAAATATTTAATCACAAAGTCTGACAAACAGAAGTTTGTTTTAATAAACACTTGTTCACTGCATTTTGACTAAGACTCAACATGAAACTAATATGTGATATTAATGATAGCAGCTATCTCTTTTAGTTCAAAACACAAATGAGAACCCTCTCTTTATACTTAAAAGAGGTTGAAACATCAGGGTTAATTGCAAAAGCCCAATGTATAAAACTAAAGATGGGTTTATTACTTATGCAATTTTTCTGCAAGCATAAAAATATAATGTTTCTTTTTTATTCACTGAGCTTATCTTATTGGTACAGTTTCATCTCTCCAGTTCCATGCTGGTATACAAAACCAAAGGCAAAGGAAATGGTTAGAAAATGCAAAAACAAATAATCAAATACCATTGATTCTATGGCATCTTAATTTTGTCAGCAAACTTTCTCAAATGTGGGAAAGGGTAGGGTTTTTCTTTCTTCCTGTTCTAACAGGCAAAGAGGAGAGTTGACATTCAGAGACAAAGAAGCTTCACACTGGATGCAGAAGTTTTGGCTGGCAAGAGACTTTTGCTACATGGAAAGTAATAATCACCTGAATAATTGTTTAATCTGTCCATGTCTTACTTCATTCTGGAGATGCAGAACATTTATACAATCTTGTAGATCAGACGGATATGCAGGCCATTCATTTCTAGTGTTACAAAGTCTTAACATTGCAGAGAAAGCCTTTCTCTGCTGCTTCATTATTGTTTTATTTTTTCCCTCTAGGCTTAATTTTATTTTTAGGTTAATTCAAGAGAAACATACCAACTCCTTATGCTGTAAGGGGGAAAAAAATCCATGACAATTAAATTAAAAACTTTGCTGTAATTAAGGCGCTGCTTCCAAAGCCAGTAGCCATTGAAAATAAAAATGCATTTTGTAGTAATCCTTTAGTATATTTACTCAATGTCTTTCTTTCTCAGGTTAAAATTGTTTCATAAGTGAACATAGCTGCTCTGAAGGTTTAGTGCTGAACATTAGGGACTTGTTTTAGATAGAAAAGAATTCCATTCTTCTAGTGAATCCATAAAGTGTGATTTTCACTCAAATCAAGGAACTAAGGTTTTCCTGTGTTGCATTCTTTCTCATCTTGAAATGCTCCTCTCAGATGGTTGAATGGTCTGTTCAGCTATCTAAGGCAGTCACCAAGCACTCTCCTGAACACAGCTCCCTTGCCCCAAGCAGCAATTGTTTGGACCACCCATCTGACTCAGCTCCAAGGAAGTATATTTGCCAACTCCTGAAGTGAATATTTCCATGCCGTGAGGTAAAATATCACTTTCTGGGAAATGGAGCTCAGTTATGTGGACCTAGTCCAGATGCTAATTATGCACATTTATTTTTAGGAAATTTCAAAGGATCTATTTTTTTTTTCTTATTTTCCTCTCTTTTTTTTTTTAATTTTTGCTCCTTGGGGATTATTATAACACTCAAAAAACTTTCCAATATTTTTGTTCTTATATTAATTAAAAATAACTCATTTATATCTAATAAAATAAGGCTGTTTACTACAAAACAGTGGGTTAATGACTTTTCAGAATTTTTTACAAAGAAAAAGGGTTCAGAAGCTAATGTTTATTTTTAAAGGGAAGCCTGCTATTAGTCCTTAGCATATATGCAGGCAGCATTGCAGTGTTCTAATTTAGTCTATCAATAAACTCTCATTCCCCAAATAGCATTTGACCCCGCGGTTCTGAGTTGCTTTTATGAAAATTTGATCAACTGGTGAATCAAAAATCAGCCGCAATCCTAATCAACAGAAATATTAACTATTCCTCAGGAGTGTCATGAGCATTTTGCAATTTCCTGGTACCAGGAACATTATTGATTATGGATAAATATATAATTAGAATTTTAAAACACACATAATAAAGCCTTTCTTTTATGTTTTCAGTTTTCTAATCAAATAGAAAACAAAGTTTAATGATCAGAAGAGCAGACATCAAGGTTTTCAGAATTAAAGACCCCAAGTAATATTTATATTGGAGGGTTTGAACATTGATGGATGCTGAGAGGAACACTCTCTAGGGTACATTTTTGGGGTTAATTTCAGATTTTACAAACTGGAACAAATCTATGGCCATTATTGTACATCTTTATCATCTCTATAAAGATAGGTTTATGTTTTCTCTGTTTTCACTTATTCATTATGAAATTATTTACTACAATAGAGAAGTACCATGGAAATGCATCCATCAATTTTCCTATATGAATACTCACTTATGTCTTTGACAGTTCATCCTTCTTACCTTAGCCTGTATACCACATTATATTTTAGAATTTCTACTCTTCTCCTGATTCTAAGCAAACTATACTATCAGTGGTCAGATCATGCTCTAATGTGTGTGTGTATATATATGTATAATACATATGTATGCATCTGCATATGAAATACCTTTAAGGAAAATACAATGAGCTTTGCACAACTGTTAATCTAAAAGCACTATTCCATGCATGCTGTTCCAAGCATAAAAACTAAGAAAATTAGATAAACACTCCCACTTAACACGCACACTTGATTTCATCAAAGCTGTACGAGAATCATTGTATTATACAGTTATATACACAGTCACTATTGCATTACAATTAGCCAAAGAAAGAAAAGGGTTAAAAAGCTACTGGTTAGTTTGAGAAATGTTCTTTTTTAGTTCTCTTGTTCCTGGCCTAGTCTCAAGCTAGCACGTGATCGGCTGAATGCCTGCCAGCCTCTTTCTTGTTGATCCTCCGGAGACCATCTGTACTGGGGGCATTGATTAGAGTGTGTCTGCTGGGATTACATCTTTTCTGTTGCCATGCCAACTAATCAGCTGATTTTGGTTACCACAGAAACAAAATGTCAGAGCTCACAGTACGGTAACATGAATTCAGCACAACAGAAAATGTTTTCTTAATTGGGGACCCTTTTGATTTTGGATTCCAAGTGAAAGGCAGCTTTAAAAAAAAAGGGGCCGACTTCAGATAAAAGCTACATTAATTGTATTGATTAAGAGGAATGCACAGAATTTTTCTGAAGAGAGAAGACATTAATTCCCTTTTATAGGCTATGCCTGTTTTTTTTTTTTTTTTATCATTTCTGAATAGGGAATACGTATGTATTTTTTCTTATTTGCCTCCATTCCATTGCTGGCTGTTGCATGTAGAACAAATCACAAAGCCTTTGGTTTTCTTTAATTTCTATAATGGGCACAGGTGTGAAGGGCCTGCCTAGGGCCTGGAAGGTGTGGGTGTAATTACTTGGGGAAGACCAGCAGTGACCAAAATCCCCCTCCATCCTTTCATTCAAAGAAATCGTTTATTTTTCCTTTAAAAAAAAAATCCAGTGCAGTCAATTCAGATTTGATTCCAAGGATTCCTGTCTTGCACATGGTATACCCTGGTTAAACCCTTGGTTTTGACTGAAAATAGGAGGAGCCCAAGGCTTGCTGCAATTTTCCATTTAGTAGGCCCATGACAGTTTGAGTGTAAGAAAGGTCCCCAACTAGCTTGCTCTGTTACCGTGAACAAAGGACACAATTTAACTTGATCTTAAGGATGCTCCAGCTGAGTAATCCATCAGTAGGCGTGCATACATGCCTTCCCATTATGAAATTCTCTCCCAATAGAAGTAAACCAGAACCTTCACTTGCCCTGCGTTTGTGGTTCATAAATGCAAAACAAATATACTAGGTAATTTTTAAAAGGCTGACATTTAACTAAGCTAATATTTGTTTAAATATCCAATAATCCCCTGCCTTTAAAAAGAGGATTATAGCATCCAAATATCCCTGTCCTGTTTTGTCAAGACATTTCACTGTTGATGGCTCCCTATAGCTACCTCTGTTTTGTGAAAGCTGTCACCGTAGGTGGCTTCTGTCATGCCAACACCCCAGGGGGAATCGTGTGGCTTAATCTCCATGCAACTCTTTTGAATGTCTTGGTAAATTAATTCCAAAGCTGATGATGCTCAAGGGGACAGGTTTGGGGACACTGAAGTCTTCTCCCATCTCTGTGTACGCAACTCTCATGGCTGAGACACCAGAAACAAGGGTCTGAAGATTACACAGCCAAGGGGTTCCCAGCCAAGTGCCCAAATGCCTGAAATTACCCACAGATCCTGCTAATTGGATCTGAGGCAAAGGTCTTCACCCAGATTATCAATAATTATCTCACAGTGTCTCTCAGATCTTTTATAAGACAAAGATGGCACACATTTACAGCATCTTTCTTGAGTAGTGTCCCATCAACACTTGTTAGTAATTCTGTACTGGCATTTGACATGTTTAAAGAACATGTGACCTTCAATTAGAGGCCATGAGGTGCACCCAACCCAGTGCGCAGACCAAGTTACAACTCAAAAAGTGGTGGTGTTTTGTGTTACATTTCCAAAGAGGAAAGTGATTATTAATATTTGATAAAAAGTTGATATATATTCATGCACTATGGTTTTGCAAATACTTATATTCTCTCTTCAGCTAATTAATTTTTACTTATTTGTTTCTGAGTGTGTTTTTTCAAGCTTCTGGAGGATTGCATGTTTGTTTTTAGCCTAGGAAATCTCTCTAAAATGCTTGATCAGAAGCCCAATGCAGTAAGAGACAGACAAAAATCAAAGCTGCTTGGTGAAATCTAGAAAGTTAATGGGGACCTCAAAGCTGAGATGGAGGCCCAGCTCCACCCAGGAGAGCCCCTGAGATCCTGCCGCTAGTGAACTTCTAGGTCTCAGGTGGCACATGATGACCATTACTGGTCTAGGGCTTTGTGTTTCTTTGGTAGCATTCTTTTTTTGTTTGTTTGTTTGAGACAGAGTTTCACTCTTGTTGTCCAGGCTGGAGTGCAATGGCAAGATCTTGGCTCATCGCAACCTCTGCCTCCTGGGTTCAAGCAATTCTTCTGCCTCAGCCTCCTGAGTAGCTGGGATCGCAGGCATGCACCACCACACCTGGTTAAGTTTTTGTATTTTTGGTAGAGACAAGGTTACACCATGTTGATCAGGCTGGTCTCGAACTCCTGACCTCATGATCCACCTGCCTTAGCCTCCCAAAGTGCTGGGATTACAGGCGTGAGCCACCGCACCCTGCTGGTAGCATTCTTTTTATCTGTAGGGCTATCATTTGCTGTTATCCTACTACATGGCAGGCACAATTCCAGGCAGTCTGCATACATGATTTCATTTAATGTATTTGTCTAACATCCTTACCCAAGGACATTTCTATTTCCATTTTACATATGAGAAAAACAAGAATTTGGGGAACTTATTAGATTTTTTCCAAAGTTCTGGAATTACTAAAAAGTAGAGTTGGGATTCAAATCCACTGCTGTCTTGATGCCAAAGTATCCACCCACTAATTTGTCCTGCTTTCCTAAGGCAGAAATGGTCTGATTAATGAGTTGTAACTATTTAAACTGAGCTATTTAAACACTACCACCACCTCCTATCTTATAGTTGAAATAGGCTCAGTAGTTTACAATTTCCTAGCACTTTCTTTCATTTCAAAGTCTTTAATAGTGAAAGGAATGGTAAATAAAATAGGAATTACATGCTAAAAATGATGTGAATATCAAAAAAAGATTAAAATGTGACTGTCACTGATTACTCTATCAAGGAAGAGACCTTTCAAAATTCTATTATGTTTCATTAATAATATATATTTTTCTTAGAAAGATAAAGGGTCCCATCCCCTCTAAGACTAGCCTTCTATGCAGGCAGAATTTATCATTACTGATGTGCTGAGATTCAAGGAATATAGTTTCGCCACATGCTTCTATTTTCTACACATCAGTAAGTGATATTGCTTGCCTTGGGTTAAGCATTGCCCTCTGGAATTTCTTTCTGGAAATAAAAACTTCCTCTAGTTGGGTCAAGTTGTAGTAGCTCACACTTAAGCATGAATGAGTTTATTGGGTACTTTGTCCCAGAATAGGATAACCAAGATTAGGATAGGAGCTCAAGCCTCTATGGCTGAAGGATGATGAAAATGGAGGAAAACTTTTTGACCCAATGTCACTATAAGATGAGTTTTATCTCCATATTTACAGATGAAGAAGCTGAGTCTCATAGAGTTTCAGTAGTAACTAGTAAAATTACTAGCACATCATGGATAGTAAGCAGCTGTACAGTCTTTTGGACCCATTGATTTTAGAGCTGACATTTGTACCATGTGCAGTGGACAAATCACTTGTGTCACATCTTTACCGAAAGTGAGCACTGCCCAAGGGCAGAAAGGGAGACCATGCTGAGTAACTGATGTGTGAGTTACAAAATGTGGCTTTCACAAAGTGCATAACAAATTACTGTGTTGTTTGTCGCTTGTAGGTATGTACAGAAGGCAGACTGATCTTGGAGTTCACCTTTGATGATCTCATGAGAATAAAAACATGGCACTTTACCATTAGACAATACCGAGAGTTAGTCCCAAGAAGCATTCTAGCCATGCATGTAAGTAATGTAATTTCTGTTTTGCTTTCTTTTCTTTTTTTTTCTCCTTCATTTCACTCAAGGGGAAATACCCGGTCCTCTCTCTGTGAAAGAATTCCAGTCGTTGTCACGCTTTAGGTAATTAACTCTAAATACTGAGTTTTGTTCTCAGCCATTTTAATCCACAGGCCCTTTTCTCCCCTTTTTGTTTCCAAGTTTGGTACATTGTGAGACTATTTTTGATACTTTATTATTTTGAACTCCAAATTGAGGTTACTTCAATAAACAGTTTGTACTTTTCTTAAATTCCATTCAGTCATTATCAAGAACTGCTCTGCTTGGGCTAATAAACCTGTTATGTATAACTGGGGAATGAAATAAAACAAGAAGTTAGAAAAACAGTTTCCAGTTTTGAATAGAACCATCTGACGAGACATGAGACGCTGATATCTTCAGATTCATGTTAGAAGTTGGTCCTCCCTGATCACAGTGCTAAATTTGAATACCTGGGCTTTTCTTGGTTTCTTTTGACCATAAATCACATCATATTTACTAAGCACAAATTAGGTGTAAAGATGGATTCTATGCTAATCTAGAGATGTATTTTAAATGTGCACTGTCTTCAGAAGTCGTCAAAGGCATCAACTTAAATTTAAGTCTCTCCTCTATAATACATGATGCAGCAGCTTCCATGAAAACCATTGGAGCAAAATCAGCCTTCGTATGCCTGATTTTAAAGACCCTGAACAATCAAAAGAAAGTAACATAACAATAACTACCATTTACTGAGTGTTTACTATGCCAGGCCTTGAGCTAAGCATTTTGTATACCTCATGATATTGAATCCTCACAGTCATGCAGACAGGTGAGTTAGTATTATTCCTATTTTAAAAGTGAAGAAACTGAGGTTCAGAGAAATTCAGTACGTTGCCTCATGTTTTTTAGCCCAAAGGTAGCAAAATCAAGATTTTGCCCCAGCTGGTTCTGACTTTGTCTCCCAGCTATCCCATTCCCAGCTATCTCTCCACAAGTTTGTTCTCAGCCACCTCTTTCTGACTAGTTAACCCAAGCTCAGCCCCTCCCCTCGGTCTTGTGCTTTCTGTTGCAGCACCCCACTTTCCTGCTCCGTGATTTCTGACTGTCTGTGCTCCAAGCTCTTGATTTTTAAAACTTAGTTTACATCCTCCACTCTCTTTGAGGGAGTCTGGAATATTCACTTCTATTATTCTCAAAATAGACTAAAAGGCAGCAAAGGATAGTAGTTGGGATCCTGGGCCCTGTATTGAGACCACATAGGGTTGGACCTTTGCTCCTGTGTGGCTTTGGCAAATGATGTGACATCTCTGTGCTTCTAGTCCCTCGTCTATAAAATGGGCATAGTAATAAAGTATGTCTCAGAGAATCAAACTAAGAGTTAATGACTGTAAAGCACTTAGAACGATGCCTGGCACATAGTGTCTCCTCTACGGTTTTTGGCGATTGGCTCTCATCATCATCATTGGTAGCCACAACAGCAGGAACAACATTTTTGCATTCCTTTATTATTATCTTTTCTGTCTTCTGACTGACATGTAAGCTCCTTGAGGTTGACCCTGGCTACTTGATAGAACAAAAACTTCCTAGCACATGAGACGAGTTTAATATATATAGGATAAATGTCAGAGAAGACCCCTTTTAGGAAATTGACATGAAACTGGTATGCTCTGTTTTCTCCTGCATTTTTTATTTATATACACAAATCCAATTGGTGATATCACTATGAGAAAAGTAAGTACAGAAAAGAATAAGTCACATTAGTATAACCTAGTCTCATGAAGGCAGACAGGGAGACAAGGGGATGTTTACTTCCATCTCCCTCTGTTTAGTGCCAATTTGCTTATATCAATTAAGAAAGAAGGAAAGCCAAACAGAAAGAATATCAACCAAGAGACTCATTTTAAAATGGATCCCAGAAAAATTTTCCTTTTTTTCTAGCCAAACAGAACATTTGGTGTGGCCCACAGGACTTTACATTCCTCTTTAAAATGTGGCTGACATTTTGGAAAATGTGATACTTACTCTTACAGTCCTACAGAAAAAAATTGTTGGGGATATCTATTTCCAGACTCAGCTTAATGGGAAGGAGAGTTAGAATCCTCTGTCTCTCTGTATGTGTGTGTGCATGTGTGTGTGTGTGTGTGTGTGTGTGTGTGTGTGTGTGTGTGTGTGTATTTCATGTCAGTGGTAAAGTTTTCCAGTACAGCCCTCAACCCCAAGCTGTAAAAACACCACCACTGTCACAGCAGGAAACAAAGGCCAGTCCTGAAGATGGCTCTGCCCAGTCCAGAGGGCCTGGCTTCTCTAATGAGGGCGGTAAACCTGGAGCTCTCCTGGCAGGGTTCTGTGACTCAGGCTGGAGGGCCACGTGCCAAGGCCTCTCCAGGAAGAAGTAACATCATTTCTCCCAAGGACTGAAAGCACACTGAGTAGTTTGGGTTTTCCCTGTCTTGCACAATTGATCTGAAAATGTCCTTGAGTGTTATATGCAAATGTCTTCGAAATGTAAATTAAATTACCTCCAGCAGCCTGCCCTCCAAAAGCAAATCGACAATGTCGAGATTGCACTTCTTAGCAGCTGTAGCACAGTCTGAGATTTTCTTAGGACCATCCTGTAGCGGTAAAATACATGTGGGTTTTTTGTTTTTTTTTTTTCCATTTAGGCACAAGATCCTCAGGTCCTGGATCAGCTGTCCAAAAACATCACCAGGATGGGGCTAACAAACTTCACCCTCAACTACCTCAGGGTAAGACCATCAAATGGTTTTATTTTTTGGTGAGTTTGAAAAGTACTTCAGAGGTTTATATGCATCTTGAACCAAGAAGTTAAAATGAGGTACTGGTGATATAACACAATGTCTATGTTCTGTAACAGATGTGTGTGTGTGTGTGTGTGTGTGTGTGTGTGTGTGTGTGTGTTTTCAATGGAGGACAGGGTTTAATTAACACAGCATCAAAACTAGAATTTGTCAGGGTTGAGTCCTATATCTGTATGTCTCTTGGAATTAATCATTCAAAGGTTAGGAATGTCCCATTGTCACAAAATGCTTTGTTGCCGCTTTCCTTATGGTTGTCTCAAGTTCAAATGGGCTATTAGTGAGTTCACTGCCCCTATGCCTCCATCCAGACACTGGTCACACCTTAGGAGAATCAGTGTACTGCCTTCATAGAGTCTCCTGCAGAAATCCAATCCTGCACTGAAGCACAGATATTTCTAAGACTTCGTAGGGACTCTCTGAACACATGTCACATATTTGGTGGGGGAGGGAAATGGATATAAATTGTTTTTATTTTTTAAAAAATAAATGTTTTAGGCAAAAATCCCTGTGAAATATGCAGAACCTCCATATTTGACCTAAAAGAGTAATATATCACACTGATTTTTAGGATGGAGTTGCAGTAGTCCACTTACAGGTGGGGAATATAGTTTCATTCATAAAGCAAGCATTGTCCTCCAGAATCCATGAGAAGGCAGTGGCTGCATTTCACATGCCTTTGCCTCTGAGATGCTGAGTTCCTTCATTGTTCAGCAGTTTATCTCTCCAGGACCTCCCACTCCTTTATAAAGTTTATGTCATTGCTTTTTTAACCTTAAGTGCATTCCAGGTTTCTGAATTGTGTTTTGTATTCACAATCCTTTGTGCACAGCCATTTTGCATTGGTCGAAATGCTGAAATGCTTTGGCAGGGCTTGCTCTTCCGTGAATTAAGAGTGATTTGGGAAGATTCCTCAAAGTCCTTCACACATTGCAATGTGCCAGGAACTGGGCTGGACACTCAAGAAGCATTGACAAAAGTCATGCTACCTGTCATCAAGAAACTCACTCCTATGAAAGGTGGACCCATAAAGAGAGAAAATTATATGCAAAATGGTAAATTCCATGATAGAAGTTTCCAGAAGGAATTATGAAAACACAAAACAGAGACACCTTAGATGCCTCAATCAGAGAAGGCTTCATGGGAAAGATGATGCTTGACTTGAGCATGAAAGAATGGATAAAATTAAACCTGATGAAAGGGGAAGGATGGATACTTCCATCAAAGGGGAAAAAGGGACAGTGGATTGAAGAATGGAATTCCAAACAGTTGTATGATGCAGGACACAAAGTGAGAGGCCAGGAGGGCCACAAGAGAGAGTTAATTGGGAAACAGGTCTTGGAGTAACTGGCTGACTGAGCTACTGAACCAGGGGAGTTTTTGGTAATGAGGAACCTCTGAAAGGGTTAAATAAGAGAAGACAGAGTTCTTGTACTGGATAAAAGGAGATTTTTTTCTTCTACAGCCTAGAAGCCCCAGGGCCAAATTCAGGTCTGGCAAGAGCTGGAATCAGCTGTGTTCCCCACCTGCCCATCTTAATGCCCCTTCCACTGTGGCAGCCCTGAACCACTAAAGAGCCCACTGGTCTCTGCTCAGAGGGAAACCAAAGTCGGCCCAGGAGTGTAGGTGGGTAATGGGTGCTCCCAACCAGGCTAGCTGGGGCTATGCCTCCTAAACCTCTGGTCTCTGCTGCAAGAATGGCTCTCTTGCAGGGCAGCTGGCACAGTGCCCGAGGCCTGAGGGTCCATGGAGTTGTTCTCTCCACAATCCGGGAGGATGTTCTGTACTGCTGGGCATATCGTCTTGTCAGGGACCAGGAGAATTTTAGTTTAAAACAGGGAAGATGCTCTTCCTCCTGCAGACAAAGAAGTTTCACAGTATGTGCTCTCAGGCAGACCCCCAGAGGAAGCTGGGACTTTGAAGTCTATCCTAGATTTGGTCACTCACCCTATGGCAAGATCTTGGACAGATTCCTAATTACATCTTTTAGCTGCATTTAACATAGATTAGTAAACAAGAAATTTCCTTCCTTCTTCTCCCTACTCCTCTCTTACTATCATCATTTGTAATTGGTTGACTTTTACCCTGTGGTCAAGGCCCACCTGGTCCCCACATCCTGTGGCCCACAAAGACTGAAGTCAGACCTATGGAGCAGAGAGAAGGCACTACCCCTCTCCTGACAACGATAGTAAGGAAATCACTGATGGGTTTGGGCAATAGGGAGTAGTGTTTTGAGGCTGCACATGAACACAGTGCTTGCTGCATGTCGGGTCTTTTGCTATGTATCTTGTGACTGAGCTAGTCTCATAAAGATCCCTGTACCCCATTACCATCCCTCTAGCAAAATGAGGCACCAAGAGTTTCAGTAAGTGAAGATGCCCAGTTTTACACACAAGTGGCAGAACTGGGACTTGAACCCAGGCAGCCTGACCCAAAATCCATGTACTTCGCTGCAGAATGCTGCTGCCTTGCTAGTGAGCATGGGAGATTGATGATATTGATAGAAATTGGATCATGTGTTTCCTGCCTTCACTAGGGAGTCAGCATCTATCAGTGGTCCTTCATTAACTTTGCCAAAAATAATATCAGCTCCTTATAGGATTTAGTGCAAGGATCAGGTCAGACCATCCATGTAAAGGGCTTAGCACAGGGCTTGGGGACAGAAAGTGCTTCGTTTGTGTTCACCCTCATCATGTATTAAGCACCTTCTGTGTACCTATGATTGTTTGATGTGCTGGAGCCACATAGAGAAACACAGAGCTGACTGTCTACTCACTCGGGGTCTGCCTAATGCTACTTTATTTCCTAACTTGTGCATATTGGTTCAGCAGCTGTTTGCATTCCCTGCCTTCCTTGCATTATTTTTCACTCACTCATTATTCCTGGCAGTTTTCCAGGTGCTGGGCTTCATTGTGGAGATATGGCCTCTCTCCTCAGTTGGTAGTCATCACAATCTGGTGGGATGTGGTCAGCTTTGGTTCCAGTGAAGCATGCTAAGATAGAGGGAGATCCAAAGCAGGAGATAGCCCAGGGAATGATTCTCAGGTCTTAATAAGCAGCTCAGGACAGAAGCCATGCTTCCTAGTCACAAATCCTTCAGGCAGACGTGGGCCACTTGACAGGTCACGGCTGAGCAGAATCTCAAACTCATTGCTTAAAACCAGTGCACATGGGCTTCCATGGTGGTCAGTGGTCACTGAGAATAACAGACAAAGGTCATTTCCTTCCATTTAGACCTGGGATTTAAGATTCTTCTAACAGCCTTATCATCTAATTTTTTAAAGACAGTGGAGCAGTCACAAAATACATTCATTTATAAAGTTGCCTTAAGATCTGAAGCCTCCACATTCATCTGAGAAGCCTGGCCTTTGCCTCAAGCCCCAGAAGGTCATCTGAAGTATTGTTCAAATAAGGTAACAAGAAGCTTCAATGACACTCCCAGTATCAGAGAAAGAGGTCAGACGAATATGTTGGTAAATACAAATCCAAAGCCTTCTATGCAATTAAAGAACTTTAAAAATGGATGCATCCTGCTTTGGAAAGGATGGATAGAGATTTTAAATGCTCCAGATGTTGAAATTTCAATATGTGGTGTCTAACGTAATAAAATTAAGCAGACCAGAAAGTAAGCAGTTACAGCCACCTAGTTTCGTCAAAACAAGTTCATATATTCCAATGAAATTCTAATCATTCTCATGGAGACCAGCAGTCAGGAAATACACAGAGCTGACCAAAAGCAGCTCCCACCATTGGAGGGAGGAGCAAGTGAGGCCCCGAGGATGGCCGAGCTGTGGACATTGTGAATGCAGATGATGGGGCTGAACACAGAGGCTTGCCAGCAGCAGTTTGGAAGGGGCTCTGGTGACCTGGTGCTTTTGAAGTGACAACAAGAACAATTGTTGTCCTTTGATTTGGGTTGTCAAATCACGTGCTGTTTCCTCTCGTCATTCCCTTCTCCCTCCTGTCGCGTGCATGACAAGATTAGAGGTGCCCTGAACTAAGAGGTACCATGGTGACTGACTCAATGGTCCCAGTGGAGCTGCGGCTGGAAGTCGCTGAGCCTGCGGAGATGGCGCTCTATCACGGTGTGGTCTCACCTCCTCTGGAGGCTGCCTCTGTGACCTCTGGAGGGGACTGGGACTTGCTGACTGAGTGTCCCTGCAGTAGTTATCCAAGCCAGAGCAGGGAAGGGACCTGCAGGATGAGGAGGTCGTTATTTTGTGGCTGTTGGGTATTCCGATGCTGGATGGTGGGCTTCACGAAGCATGTCCTCGGTGTGCTGGGGAAAATTGTTCCATGACATGGGGAGACGGCGCCTTTCAGTAAGCAGCATGCTCTCGTGGTAGAACTTGAGCACTAGCATGGGAGAAGCAAGCCAGGAACTCAGAAATGTGTCCTTTGCCTTGTTTGCTGGGAAGCAGAAGTCATGCTGTCTGTCTGGCATTTTACGAAAAGATCCAGTTCAGCAACCATGAGAAGGCACAGTGCAGTTTAATGGGCATTGAGTCGTCCAGGTCAATGAGACCTGGCTGTGGAGCTTTGTCAGTTTCCACCCGATCCTGCTTGCCCATTTATTCGTCATTCATTTCATAGGCATTTCTACAACTCCTTCTTTGTGCCAGGTATCTGCCTTCAAGGAGATCATTGCCTAGAATGTAAGAAAGAAAAACAAATACAGACTTGGAGAGAAATCGTTCCCAGGTGCAGTGAGAAGCATGGCACTAGCTAACATTTATGGGGCACTTACTATGTGCCAGGCATCACTGCTATGTGCTCTGCAGGGAGTCTCTTTCTTTCTTTCTTTTATAAAAAATACTCACAGCATTCATATGGTGTAAGAACTATTTTTAGTCCTATTTTGCAGGGGAGAAAACTGAGGCACAGAGAAGTAGCTTCCCAAGGTCACAGAGCTGGTAAGTGGCAGATCAGAG